CTTGCAAATGCTTCGGGTTACAAGCTCCGCTAACCCGGAAGTAGATGCTCCCAGTTGCGAACTTTGCCCCGTGATGTGAGCAAAAGTCATGTAGCGGCAGTGGGAGGCACCAATAGCAAAAGCACGCCTCATGTTAAGAACGGTTTCAGCTTAAGAACGGACCTCTGGAACGAATTAAGTTTGTAACCGGAGGTACAAATTAAGTTCATAACCAGAGTACCACTGTACTCAGGTTTAACTAAAATGAACTGTGGCATTGCGTGATGTGGAATGCTTGTAGCTGCCATCACCTTTACTGCTGTGTCTCAGACTTTAGTACTATATGGCACATAATAAGAATCCATTTTCCTAACACTAGATAGGCAGATGCTTTAGACCAATGGTTCTCAATTAGTACTGCGGACCTCCTGTCTTTCAAAAGCCAAGCCATGGACCCCCTACTTTTTTGGGGTACTATGGTAGTTTTTGTTATGTGAATGATGCCCCAGACCCCTGGTTGGGTTATGCAGACTTCCTGGTATCCATGGACCACCAATTGGGAACCACTGCTTTTGACAGTTTACAGGCAGGGCATGATGGCAGCATTATTATGGAAACCTGAACTGTGTTAAATGTGGTCTGCACAAGTTACTAGGTTTGAAATAGCAATTAAGGCGTCCCAGCAGATGTATGATTTCAGATTATATTCCCAAAGATGGGACAGGTCAGCCATGGCATGTTCCTTCTCTCCAACACCCTTAGGTGCAACCTGAAACCTGCAGAGCACCTAGCTGAGCCTCATGTACTAGGCATGCCTACAACACTTCATCTTGAAAGTGGACTGGGACTAGATGCAGACTTCATGGCTTCAACATCAGCCAATATATGTATTTTTCTCTTCTCCCCACCCACCTTGCTTTGCATTGTGGAGAACTCAAAAGCTTGCACACTGCTTGGTGTCATTTTGGTTGACCTACTTAATATGTCACTCTACTGTAGATTTTGGAAGTTCACTATTTTTGTTTACGGTGGTGGTTTGTCGTGATTTGATCTTGTAGCATTCCTCACACTACTTGCTTAGTTTTCCTCCTAGAACAGCTTGGTGGTCTACAATAACATACACACAGAGAGAGTCATTGAGGCAGTTTAAAGATTAATAGATTAATTACTGCATCAGCTTTCATGGACTAGAGTTCACTTTACCCAGTGTATGGTATCTGACGTTTCAGGATTCAGTGAAAATTTTAGTAAAAAGGCAAAGCCATTGTGTACAGGACTGGATCTGCAAAAGTCTGCAGACTGCCTCCAGCCAGATCTCTGTGGCTAATAGTGGTTCTGGATTACACCCTAAATCTGGGTTAGTTCAGAGCATCCAAAAAAGAGTAAACCAGCTTCCTGTCCCGATTTAAATTCCATAAAATGGATTAGGATTTTCCTAGCCCTCATGACAAAAATAATAATAATAATAAAAAAAATATCCGTGAAGGAACTTGGCAGTCAAGGTTGCATTACAGAGGGCTCTTTCTAGTTCAAATGAATGTCAGGTTAAATACCACCCCCCGTTGCACCTTTGTCAAACAAGCATGGGGAGGATGTTAGCCAAAGAAAGATGAGTTTGACCAAAATGCAAGCAAAAAGGAAAGGAACACATGACGCGGTTAGACAAATCGCTCTGCTTCATAAACAGCGAAAAGAGGTACGAAATAAGTTTAAAAGGTGAGCGTAGAAACCAGAAACGCCGAGTCCTTCCTGACTTGGCTTGCTTTTGCCTCTCTCCAAGGTGCTGAATGACTGAGCATTGTAAGCAAACCATTCTGTTCCCTCCTTGTGACTTTGGTTATAAATTTATGACTACGAGCCACTTCAACTGCGACTGGGTCTAAGGAAATTTCATCCCAGCAGTTCAACCCACAACGCAACAGAGTGCCCTTGCAACGGAGTGTGCCGGAAAATGCAGCTTTTAAATGCAACCTCATACAGTAGTTGAAAGTAGCTTCTGCTGGAATATATGGGGTGGTTCTCCTATAGATCGGGCTGCAAAGAGCGAGTAGGTTAGAAACAGACGCTAATGACCTTCTCATTCTAACAGCTATGATTATTGCTTCACTGACCGTTAGTTTTGAGTTCTGAACAAATTTGCTGTAAATCCCGGGTGGAGACTCTAGGCTGTAGGAGCACGTTTATGGATTTAGGGTCCCGAAAGAAAGAAAGAAGGAAAGAAAGAGAAGAAACCAGAATAACATTGCCTTTTATTTTAATGTGTACTTTTTAAACTATGTAAATCCAAATAACTGGAAATTTTAACAAGAGTAGTGTATGTACGTTTGTAGTAACTATAAGCTGGGAAGAAGGAGAGCGATAAATCCAGTGATATCGTCTGAAATTATTTCCTGTGCTGCCCAGTCCTATACATGTTTACTCCAAAGTAAGTCCCCCTTTAACACCCAGTTGAGACTGTTTAAGAATGCAGCCTTCATCTTGAGCTTTTTTCAACATAGTCCCAAAGGGCATCGCTTTCAATCGGAGAAGTATCTGATTTGGCAACTAAAGTCAGTGCCAGAGTAAACAGCAAGACAAAACTTCTGTTCCTTGTTCATCGCCCCAATCCAAAACATTGTGTCCTGCTATTTGTTGGTTGGAAGGACAGAGTATGTACTCTTTTTGATTCTTTTTCGAAGAAATCGGTGCACATATATTTAAGAACAACCAACAAGCGTGTGTTACAAGCCAAATGTTGTGGCTTAAAGGAAAAGAGACGAATTCTCTGCAGACCAGATAAGCTGCTTGCGCAGTGAAAGGAGGAACTAACTTCAAGGGCTTACCATACTTGAGAGTAAATTCCACGGCAATCCGTAGAAATCATTTCTATCTAAGCATGGTTAGGATCCGTCTGTAATCAATATTTTATAAAACGGAACGGGGAAGGAACTTCTTTTGCTTTTACTATTTATTAATGCTAAGGTATTTTTTCAAGGTTTAGCAGTTGCGATGTTAAAATTTCAGGCATTGAAGAAATGTAAGCACGTTTGAAGATGAGCAAAGGGTAGCTTTTGAAGTCTCTTTGAAAACTGATTTTAAAAAAAGAAAGAACTAAGATAAAACGTTTATTCCCTTCTGTCAGAAACCGAGGGAATTAAACCTGTTGATACGAATATCGGTAGGTCTTCAGACCAACAGGTTTAATCTCTTCCTATGCAAATGAAATATTTTATAACAACTTGCATCGGCCTAATATAGCAAAGCGCTGACGCCCGGACGCCTAATATGCCCGGGTTTGCAACAAATAAAGACTTGGGGAAGAGAGAAAGAAACTGCAAATTCGAAGTGGGATTTTGTTGTTGTTGCTCTCGGTACTGAAGCTCCTCGTTCCTGTCCCTGTTTCCCTTTGCAAATATCAAGGTTTTGCGCGACGGAATGAAATAAGAGACTCAGCTAGAAGCAGTTTCCAGAATAGGCCGCCGGACCCGCTCGGCAGCTCCACCTCTTGCTCTGCCACCGTCCCTTCGCATCTTTCTCAAATGCAATGTTTGTGCCACTCTAGATGCCTTTGTGCAAGGGAGGTGTTTGTTTTGTGTGTTGCTTTTTTAGGTGACAGTGTACCACTGGAAGCATCTCCCCCAAACCGCCCCATCCCGGGTCCTCTCTAAGATCCCGGAAACTCAGGAGCCGGTTCCACGGGTCTTTCTCTTGCGCAAGCCTCATTGATGAGTACTGCGCAAGAGAAGCGCGAGCCTCGCTTGCCCGCCTGCTTCTCCCCCGCTTGGGCTCTGAAACTGATCAGGCTCAGCTGAATCTCCAGCGAAATCTGGAAAGCTTTCCTCGCTTTCTTCTTGTTCATGGGACGGACCATTTCGCCTCCCTTCTTGCTTGGTGTCTCGAACGAAACCGAAGCAGCAGACGATCCAGATTCAGACCAGATTCCATCGTTGCGCTTCTAGGCGTAGTTTCTTAAGGGAAAGCGCTTTCGCGGGGAAGGAACTTGAAAGAAGCGAGTTACGTTAGCCGTCCGATTCGCTCGGGCCTAGAAAGGAGTCGTCGGGCTGCTGTGGAATATCTGTGTATCGCCCTGCTTCCTTCAGACGAGGGAAGCCAGATCTGTTTGTTTGTTTTCAGCAGCAGCCAATTGCCTTGGCAAAGCCTTTCCCCTTCCCCTGTCCTCTCTCTCCCCCCTCCCGGGCTTCGCTTTCTTCCTCTCTCTCCCTCCCCCTTTCAAAGCGAGGGGGAAGAAGGAGGCGAGGGTGTTCTGAAGCGAGAGCGCGACTCGTCCTTTCCCTCCCCCGCCTGGTTTAAAGGAAATCCCGGCGAAGGTGTGAAGTGCTCGGCAGGTCTTGCACAAACACATCCCGACGCAACAGCCGCGGCGTATAAAGCGGGGAAGGGGGGCGGGCGCGACGGCTTCGACGCGGGGAGAAGGGAAGAGGCCGGACTCCGGCCCGAGACGCCTTAATGGGGCCCATCGCCTTTTCGAGGGGAGGTGTGGAATGGGCCCCGTCGCCTCTTCCCTCCTCCAGCGCTGACAGGGCTGAGGGAAGCCTTTAGCCGCCGCTGCTGAGGGAGCTTTCCGAGGCCGGCCAGCCCGGGAAGGCGAAGCCCCCCTCGTGAAAGAGGGAAATGGCCGCTTAGGACGCAGACGGCCCCGCTGAGCTCTGAAGCGTCGGCTCCCTTTTCATCTCCTCCCCTCAGAAAGTTGACTTGTGGCCTCCAAAGGACGTCGCTCAAAAAACCAGGCCTCGCTTTTTACATTTCAAGGAAAGCTTTAATCGCAGTGTTTTTGGTTAGCCCACGTCAAGTAAGGGCTACTCTAAATACCCAGCAGCTTCTCCCCACACCCCGCCTCATAAAGTCCGTGTAAAGTTTCATGTAAAGAAGTGAGGGGGCTGGTGTGTGGGATCTTTTAAAAATTATTTTAAAAAGCACTTAAGAGTCGCAGGTGACTTGTTCCAATTAGTAGCTGTCTAATTAAATTAGTGTCACCGAGACCAGCCAATAGGTGGGCGAGGGAAGGAGAGGTTCGCCGGCGAATGGAGCCGCCTCCAAGCCCCTCCCCGGCTGCGGGAGAGGAGCGCGCGCGCGCGCCTATAAAAACGCTCCCCGGCTTGGTCAATCGCAGTCAATTGTGTGGCATTTAAAGGCGGGAAGGTCAGGTGGGTGGGGGCGGCTTCTTCTTTTTGTAAATAAGGCTGCCACAGAAGGCGGCCCAAGCCCTTGTTCGGTGCCTTTGAGGGGAACCAAGGACGTTGTTGTGTCGCCGGCTGAGGCGAAGTGAGCGCCTAGTTTTGCGCCTTCCGGCAGAGCCGCTCTCTCGGAGTTGTGAGGGGACTTCTGGGGGCGGGTGGCGAGCGGGGCGGCTCATCTGAGGCGATGCAGCTGGGGGAGCAGCTCTTGGGCAGCCCGGCCAACCTGCCCGGCGCCCCCTTCTACCCGCTGGAGAGCGCGGGCGGCCGCGGCGGCGGCGGCGGCGGCTCGACGCGCCACCTCAGCTCGGGGTCTCCGCCGCGCCTGGACTTGGACAAGGGCGCGAAGAAGTTTGGCGGCGCCTCGGGGCCTCCGGCGGCCGGCCTGCTGGGCGAGGCCGAGGCGGCGGCCGACACGCCTCCCTTCGTCGCTGGCGCCGCCGGCCAGGTTCCCGCCAAAGCGGCCTCGGGGGCCGACGGCGGGCGCAAAGGCTCGCCTTGCCCGGCGGAGGAAGAGCCTCTGCCTCCGGCTCCGGCGCCGGCGCGCTACACTCTGGACGGCCTGAGCCCCGAGCGCTACTACCTGCAGTCGCCCGGCCCGCAGGGCGGCGGCGGCGGCGAGCTGGGCGGCCCGTGCGCCCTGTTCCCCTACGCCGGGGCGGCGGGCGGCGCGCAGCCGGGCTCCATGTACCCGGCGGCGGGCGGCGCGCGCTACCCCTACGGCTCGGTCCTGTCTCCGCCGGGGGCTTTCCCAGCGCGGCAGGCAGGACGCCCTTCGCGGCGGCGGCCGGCGCCTACCAGTACGGCCAGGGGCGCCTCCGGGCAGCCTCTACAGCCCCTACCCGGCGGCGGCGGCGGCGGGCTCGTGCGGCGGGCTGGGCGCGCTGGCGATGCCCGGCGGGGCGGGCGCGCTCCGAGCCCAAGTCTTCCTGTGCAACCGGCCGCTCTGGCTCAAGTTCCACCGGCACCAGACCGAGATGATCATCACCAAGCAGGGCAGGTAACGCCGCTGCTTGTCTCTTTCCTGGGGAGTCGGGGGGGGGGGCGACGGGACTGCGGGACATGGGGCTGGCGGCGCGCTTTGGGGCAGATCGGATTTGCGAGGAAATGGCGCGGAGGTAATCCGTTTGGGAGGAACCGATTTGGGAGAGCGGCTCGAGGAGCTTTCGGCGCGGGATCTCATCAAATTAAGAGCGAGCTTGGGGAAACTCGGTTTAGTTTTAAGGGATCCGGGGCGGAATTGGTTTGCATTTGCTCTCTGCATTTGCGTGCCTGTCATCAGGTGTGGCCCAGGTTTCCCCGGAATGTCAACAGTTGTTCTCTCCCCCGGCTTAAAGTTTTCCCTGTGCACATTTACCCGAGAGTAATCGCCACTGGACACAGGGGGGCTTAAATAGGAAACTAACATGCTCAGGTTTGCGCTCTGAAACTCATTTTTCCCCAGTTCATGTACTTAAAAGTATACGCTAATGGGGGGGGGCAGGAATTCGATTTAAAAGAAATAACAAAACTATTTTATTTTTTTAAAGAAGAAATTTCTTAAATCGAGCTATGTAGTGCCGGTGTTTTTAAGCATCAGAAAACCGGACTTGCTTTTGCTTGGAAATAAAATCCGATCGTAATAAGGTTCTTTTTCGTTAGTTTACGATCAGGACGTTAAACTGGGGGAGGAAGGCAACGCCCTGGATTTATGGCACTAGCGAGGCCAACCAAATTTAAGGGATTGGGGGTACCGGAGTGCAATTATAACCAATGACTGGTCGATCGAAACCTTCCCCACCGAAATCACCCTTGTGCTTGATTCGAAGTAGGACAGACATACTTGTAGGGTTTCTTTCTATCTCTCTTCTCCCCCCCCCCCCGCCATTTAAATATATTTGGTTTCTTGTGTTCCCTAAACCGGCACTATCAGTCCATCATAATTGTTGACTGAGATAAAAGAATTGGGGACGGGGTGGGAAACAGAATGTGCCATTAGTTTCTGTCCGAAGAGCCTGGGAATTCTGTGCGTGTGATATATAAATTATAACCTAGGGCAAGCGAGGGTTTGAAACTACTGCAGCCTTCGGATCATGGTATATTTGGAATGGGATTGGTGGTGTCCCTCTTTCTTCGAGGTGCTGCAATTGAAAGGCTGCCCTCTCCGATCTCTCCTTCCGAGGCCGTCGCTCTGGATGTTCGCAGAAGAGCGAGACTTGGAGCCAAAGCCTCTCGTGGCGGCTCTCTCTAAATATAAACCCCGCGAGGGGAGCCGCCATCTGCCTCCCGCTCTCGGTCCAGGCGCTAGCCGAGGCTGGAGCGCGCTGCCAAAGAGCATCGGCGGGGGCTCCTGGCTCAGGGATGCAGGCGGCCTCGATTCCCTTTTTCTAAATGCGCGCCTTCCCCCCTTCCTTTCTCTTTCCAATACCAGGCGGATGTTCCCCTTCCTGAGCTTCAACATCACCGGCCTCAACCCCACCGCCCACTACAACGTCTTCGTGGAAGTGATCTTGGCGGATCCCAACCACTGGCGCTTCCAAGGGGGAAAGTGGGTGACGTGTGGCAAAGCCGATAACAACATGCAAGGTAAGCGACTGGGGAACGGGCAGGCAAGGAGACTTTTTCTCTTGCCTTCAGCTTCCTTCCATGCCTTCATTGCTTCATCCAGAATCCAGATGCAAAGCTCTTTATAGACAAGGAAATTAATTGCCTTGTCATACAGCCTTTTGAAATGTGACTTCTGAATCTAAAGGAGATGAATCCTCTCCAGAAAGTGACTTTGTGCTTTTTAAAAAAGGGGGGTTGGAAGACTGCTTTACTTCAGCTTGCTCAGAAATTAAAGGAAGGCTCAGCATTTTTCCTTCTTTCCCCCTTTCATGCTCATGGTTTAATTACAGGTCCTGCAGACTCTCTGCCACTGCAAGTGAATGGCTGCAACCCAGCATCCTATTAGATGTGCATTCTTGTGTGCAAGTATTTCCTTTGTCGTGGCACACAAGAGAGAGTGCATTTCATCTTGGTGTTATGTCTGATTTGGGGAAATGTCTAATTCACACAAGTACACGCAGGAGAGAGGAAATGCACCTTTCCCTGACTCTCATCTTCTTTCCATCTTACAGGTAACAAGGTTTATGTTCATCCTGAATCTCCCAACACTGGAGCCCACTGGATGCGACAAGAGATCTCTTTTGGAAAACTAAAACTAACTAATAACAAAGGGGCCAATAATAATAATACTCAGGTAAAACAACACACTTAAATTTGGTTTGCTTAGTTGATCTGTGGTTCCTGGAACCTGAAGGAAGATTCAGTAGGTTTTTGAAACAGGTCTCCAGTAAATTCTGAATTTGCTGGAGTCATCTCGACAGTACATCTTGTCCCTTTTTTAAAGTTATAAATTGGCATGTGGACATGGGAACTAGTGCTGTATTAAAGGCTTGCAAAATTTGAAACTATCCTTCCCTATGTCAGGTGGATTTTAAAAAAAGTATTGTGCACTAACTCAGTGTTCATCTTTTCCAGATGATAGTACTTCAATCTCTGCATAAATATCAGCCTCGTCTCCACATTGTGGAAGTGACAGAAGATGGTGTTGAGGACATGAATGACTCCTCTAAGACACAGACATTTAACTTCCCTGAAACACAATTCATTGCTGTGACTGCATATCAGAACACTGATGTAAGGATAAAATATGCTTGGTATGCTAAATAAATAGCTTTTATCTGGGGTGCGCTATGATACCCTTCATAAATTAAGAGGTAAAATAGGAACACAAAGAGAGTGATAAATGGAGCTTTAAATACTTTGTTAACTGGAAGCAAGGGGTGGTATTGAACTGAGTTTTACTCCAAGTAAACCCATTGAAATTAATGGACCTAGTTTAGTTGTGTTCATTTCAGTGGGTATACTCAGAGTAAAACATAGCTGAATACCACTCAAGCAGCTCTACATCTGTCTGTTTTACCACTGCTGTAGATATAGTTGTTAACTTGATTTCCTAAAGAAATACACAAAAGCTTTCTAAATAAGTACCTCTCCTTTTTGCATGTACAAAGGAAATTATCGTCGTCTTTTTACAGATTTTGAGGTATCTAAGTAGACACCACTATTTTGTCTTTACTTTTCAGATCACACAGCTTAAAATTGACCATAATCCTTTTGCAAAAGGCTTTCGGGACAACTATGATTCGTAAGTAGTATTCTCATCTCTATGTGGTACAAATAATTCTATTCCATAAAAGTGCAGATTTTTAAAAGTATATTAATTTAAGAGCTTTTGTATTGGTAGCTAGCAACAATCTTCAAGGTGTCTTACTTGAGAGCGATGGAACATTCTTCTAAGCAAAAATAGTCTCCCATCTAGGTGAAAATGAATGTTAGATTGCAAACTATTTCACCTCTTCACTTACCTAAATTGCAGCAGAGGCAACTGACTGGGTTTGCAGAAAGTAAAAATAGCACAAAATTTTATTCTGAATAAGGTTTAAATTTGCACATACACCACTGCAAATAAATAAATAAATATTCATTTGTGTTTTTTTAATGTTCCTCACCTAGCTGAACTTTTTATATTGTGTTTCAAAGTGAACTTAACTGGGAGAATTTGCAGAAAGTATACATTAAAATGGACTTTAATATTTGTTGACTTTAATCTTGACCATAAAATAAATGGCCAGTCCAGCATGATCTCCTTGGGGCTGAGCCATCCCTCCTTGCATGCTAATGCCAACATCCTAAATGGTAAAGAACAATATCTTAGGCGTTTTTCTCTTGTGTTTGTAGCATGTACACAGCTTCAGAAAATGACAGATTAACTCCATCTCCCACGGATTCTCCTAGATCCCACCAGATTGTCCCAGGAGCCCGGTACAGCGTGCAACCCTTCTTCCAGGAACAATTTGTCAACAACCTGCCACCGACTAGATTTTATAACGGGGAAAGAACTGTGCCTCAGACAAACGGCCTCCTCTCGCCTCAGCAGAACGAAGAGGTGGCCAATCCTCCACAGAGATGGTTTGTCACTCCAGTCCAGCAGTCTGGGGCCAACAAACTGGACATGAACTCTTACGAAACAGACTACTCTCCTAGTACCTTACTTCCTTATGGGATCAAGTCCCTCCCCCTGCAGACATCCCATGCCTTGGGCTATTACCCTGACCCTACGTTCTCCTCCATGGCTGGATGGGGGAGCAGAGGCTCTTACCAGAGGAAAATGTCTGCTGGCTTACCTTGGGCCTCCAGGACAAGCCCCCCAGGTTTCTCCGAAGACCTGCTTTCTAAGGAGAAAGTGAAAGAAGAAATGGGGTCGTCCTGGATAGAGACACCGCCATCCATAAAATCTCTAGATTCAAACGATTCTGGAGTCTACACTGGCGCTTGCAAAAGGCGGCGACTCTCCCCAAGCACGTCCAGCAACGAAAACTCCCCCACGATGAAGTGTGAGGACATTAATGCTGAGGACTATGGCAAAGACACTTCCAAAGGCATGGGCTACTATGCTTTCTATACCAGTTCTTAAGCCCTAGTCTCTGTGTCAGAACTTGACTTGGCTATAATCTTTCAGTGGTGTTGCGGAGGTCTTTTGCACAAATGTTGCCAAAGGAACTCTTTACCTTCCCACCTTTTTGAAAAAAAATGTTCTTGTGCAATTCCATAGAAGGTGCCAAAGCTTTTTGACTGACTTCTGCAGGTAAAAAAGGGAAGAAACTGGGTAGCACTCCAAAATGACTTGGCCTCTTTACCCCCCACCCCCTCCTGCTCCCCACCCCCAGCTAAGGAGACAGCGAGGGAGAATCTCTAAGCATCATTCTGATTTTAAGTATGGCTTTCAGAAAGGGCCAGGAAAGGAGGGGGTAATAAAGCAAAGGTTGTACAATCTGGCCAGTGCGTAAGTGCTGTGCACTAACAAACAGTTTGAGGGAAGAGTTAGGTGCTTATTGAACAAATTACTACCCTATTGGATCTATTGTTGTAGCTGAATAGTGGAAATATTCAAAGTGGAGGCTTTATCAATAGAATATTTCTTCATGCAAAAACCAAACTTTTGGCTCAGTGAGTAAGCCTTGCTTTTTTTCTGGGGAGATTTTAAATGACTTGGCAGAAAGTTATGGCAGTGAAGGAATCCTACAAAGGTAGCAAAAACCCAGTATTAAATGTACAGCTCTGTGTTGTCTAGATATATTGTGGACTATGACAAAACATTCTGTGTAGTTCTAGTCATGGCAGTGCAGTTGAGTGTCTGAAGCCGGTGCGTGTTGGGAGTTCTTTATTTAAAACAACTTCAAAGTGGATTCTGATGCTGAGAGTACATCAAAATATATATTTATTGGTAGGTGGTGAATGTATTTTTCAGCCGTTCTGAACTGAGTGTTGTAACTCCTCTTGCTCAATCTATAAATATTATGAGACAATGCCGAGGTGGCAAAAGACTTTAAAACAAAGCATTAGTTTTATTGCAGGGGTGGGACGGCAGGGGGGGTTGAAGCTGAGACTTTTGTCTGTATATAATGATTTTTAATAAATGTGTTGCAATGATAGGTGCTGAATTCTGCAAAGGAGAATTGAGAGTCGGTGTGCCCTCTATCCCTTGTTAGTAATAAGTTTGCAGCAGGACCTTAGAAACAAATTTAAAATAATAATAATTAAATCTAAAAAATGTGGAAGTCTAAAGCTACTTAAAAGGCCTCCTGCGCTCCATCCCAAAGTGGGAAATTAGTCCACTGAGGACCCAAAGCAAAATGCAGGAATCCTGTTCTTCAGTGGCTCGTACATGAGTGATGGCCTTCAATAATGGGGAAGGGGCTCTTTTAAAGTGTGGGGGGGGACCAAGAGCCCAGCTCCTCTTCCTAACTGCTGCAGGGCTAAGCTGAAAGAGCTGCCCACTTTCTCCTGCTCCAGACACCAGGGCTGGGGAGTTTGGCAAGCTTCAACTTTACCTACCCAGATATTGTGCAGGTGGGTCTGTTGCCCAGTCCTGCCAGGTGGATATTTGCCGAAGCTGGTTGCCTCTCCCTAGCATCACTCAAAAAGAAAGTCTAGACTGGGATGGGAGCAAGGAAGAACAGGGTCTAAAACTCCTGTTGCGCGTCAGATCTAGTCCTATGCAGGCTAGCGCGTCTCGGGGCATTTTGTCTTTCTTTATTCGCGTGCTTTAAATTCATTATGAATGTTTTACTTGAACTTGCGCTCCAGGTCGACGCGGAAGCGAGGCGTATTTTTGCCTTGGCCGTCGGGGAGCCGGTTGACAAGAAGCCTTCTGCACCTTCCCCGAAAATACAGAGAGCGCTCCCTCTCCTCCGGCCGCGCGAAGGAGATCACGAACCGGGGCTTGGCGCTCAGCGGTGCCAAAACAAGCCCTTCTGCCGGGGAGTTTCCCCGCTGGGGAAGTGAAGCAATCGAGGGAGGAGGGAGCCCTTCCGATCCCCTTTTCTTCAGCTTTTGTTCCAATATAAATCAAAGCGGCAGCTCTCCACCTTGACTAGAGAAGGGCTGGTGCAACGGGAGCCCATCCTCGCGCGTTATGTATCTTCTCTTCCCACTTGAAAACGCGCTGCTCCCAGTTTTAAAAACTGGGCTGTGCTCCTCGCATCTACCGCGGGCAACTGGGCGGGGCCTCCCTTTTAATTTTCCCAATAACGGGGACGTGTAAATAACAAAAACTTTTGAAAGAGCCCGGCTTTAAAATGAAACAAATCTAAACGCGACCTGATCCACAGCGCTCTTGCTATGGAGCGCATTGATTTAAAAGGGGACTTTAGACGGCCCCGGCGAAATGTACATCCTTGGGTCAGAGAACTAGCTGGTCGTCTTGTCACTATGGATCGGACGCGGGGCGGGAATGCGTAAGGCAAAGCTTCCAAACGTGGTGTGGATCAAGTGCATTGCGATTGCTGGGTCATCTGATGCGCCCCCCCCCCCCCCGGTTTGCAGACGGAGCCATGCAAGGTCGCCGGAACAGAATATGCAGGCAAAAAGCTGATAAAAGCTCCAGTCCTATTTGCCTGCCTCCTTCAACAGAAGTAGGCTTGGGAATCATTATAAAGCTGGCTTTGCTGGGGCGAGATTTTACTTGTACCGCGCGGAGCTTTGAGCGTTACAAACCTTAGCAGCCTATCCTTTTTCATGGGCGGCAAACGGGAAAGTGACCATTTGGACTGGGACTCCTTGGCCAAGGCATCGAGAAGCTGCGTCGGGTCGCTGCGCTCCGATTATAGGCAGCTTTTTGAGCCCACAGAGTTCTTACCCTTTGCCCATCTCCCCCCGCATGAAGAGTTCTGTGCGTGCCGAAGGCTTGCCATTTTCCACGATCCAACTGGTGGTCACCAAGCTACCCAGCGCCCCCATCATTTCCCAAGATCGTGGTTCTGCCTTGCTGCCAAACCATTTTTTCCCCTGCCTGCCCCTCCTCCCTCTCTCTCTCCCTCTTCCCAAGGTCTCTTTCCCTCGTTTTCCGTTGCTCAGTAACTCCCTCCTTCCCTTTCCGCCGCAGTGTTTTCGCGCAGCAGCCTGTATATTTTTGCACTGCACAGTTAACAAAAAAAAAAAAAAAAAAGGTGGTGGTTGGGGGGTGGGGTTAGAGAGGTAGAGGGGGAGAGAGAGAAGGAAAAACAACTTGCGAAAAGTCCTCACACTGTTTAATGGAAACATAAGTGCCTGGCTGGCCCCAATTAACACCTTGTGATAAGGCATTCCTAAAATGGGGGTGCCAGACACCAAATTGCGAATAAATGTATCTAATTAATCCGCCAAGGATGACACTGACAAACAAGCCTATATTTAAACCGGGATCGCGCCTTATTTGTTTACAATAACCGCGGAGGAAAGTTAAGAGAGCCCCGGCGGCTTTCCGCGAAGGTGACGCGGGCAGCGGGTTGCAGGAGCCTCGGCGCATCTTGCAGGCTGCTGCGCCTGGGCAGCGGGGCGCACCGATCGAGCGACAGACGCCTCGAGGGGGCGGACGGGCCTGGCCTCCCGCCGTTTCCAGGCTGTAACCTCCACTGCAGAGCTGCACGCCTTATTGACTTTTACATTGCACCACCACCGAAACTTGTGCATCAAGCATGGCGTAAGGGGGTTTTCTGGGGCGGGCGGATAGCAGTACTGTTCCCTGCCCCGAGGGCGCGTGCATTAAGCTGAACGGTGCAGCGGGAGCCGTGCTCATTGGTTACAGCCAAAGGGAAAACCCACCTCCAATGCATTGTTTTCCTCCTTAGTTACGCTCTAAAGATTTTTGTGTATTTCTTTTGTGTGTGGAGACCATGAAATGAGGCAGTATATAACAACAGTGGGTAAATATTCGACGTTACACGCAGCGTAGACCTATTGAAAGCAATGGACTTAAGGTACAGCAGTCCTTTGACGACGATCGACCCGGGGCTGCCACCCAGCAAACCCGCGGGATCGGTATTGTGGGGATGCGCAAAGTACGCGCAAACACACCACCTCCCCGCCTGTTTACTTAGGAGCAAGCCTCGCTAAAGTCTGCGCGTAAACTCGAAGGCTGAGGACGAGTGATCTACCGATGTTTTCAGATGTTTTTTTCAAGCTATTGACAGCGCAGTCCTAGCCGTGACTGCTCGGATGGAAGTCCTATTGAGCTCAATGGGGTTTCCTCCCCCCAGGTTTGTCGGGTTAGGATTGCAGCCCGTATTAGTTTTTGTTTCTTTTGTAAGTTGCCCGATAACATAGGCTCGCTGGGCGCTGTGTAAATGAAATGTTTGGCTTTTTTCGTTGAATTACTGGTTCTAATCTAAACAGTGTACGATCAAAGGCAAGAGGAAAGTGAATGCAATGCTTGACACAGAAAAGTTGCAAGAGCGATTATGTATGGACTAACTCGCAGGCAAATGCGCCCACACACATACACAGCCTTTCCGGTGATTATTATTTTTAATCGTCCTTCTAGTTGGTTGATTCTCAGGCGCGCGAGTTGATTCTCAGGCGCGCGTCCTTTATCAAGCGAGAGCGAAACGAGACCCCGCCATTGGGGAGTCCAGAAACTGGATGTCTCCGGGGTCCCCGTCGGAAATCGTTCTTTACAGGCTATATACGCACCAGACATTTAAAGCGTTAATTGAGACCAGCCAAGTACACGAGTCCCCCGTAAAAATAATAATAAGAATAAGAATGCTGGGAAGCGTAGTACCTTAAGCGTGCTGGGAATTGTAGTTCGGTGAGGGGGTAAACTACAGTTCCCTGTATTCTTTGAGGTGGGAAGCCGTACGCTTTAAACGTGCCAACAGAAAACAAGCGACGAGAAGATGAGCACACCCTCCCTCTCCAAACCGTCCAGGTTTCCAGTTGCTAGGGGTGGAGAAAATCACGCGCTTTTTTTAATCGTGTCAAGTCAAAGAGGACCACTTAATCCCATCTTAAACCCATTTGCGGGAAAGCCCCTGACCCGGTCCCCTCCCCGCCTGGTGCCCAGTCCCAGAATTTCCCCCTGAGGAGCACGTCTAGGGACGTGCGCTTGCCTGCGCCCCTTTCCGCGCAGGATCCGCTGCCTTGTACAGGGGGCGGCCAGGCGTCAGTTCGCGAAGGGAGCAGCGGATCTCGGCTCGTCTGGGCCCTGGGGAAGCTTTTGAAAGTTTAATCTTTTATTTTGTTTTTGTGTAGGTTAGAAGCCGCCCAGAGTGGCTGGAACAACCCCATCAGAAGGCGGGGTACAAATAATAAAATTCTTTTTCTTCTTGGGCGATCACTCGTAGCCGAGTCTGATTTTTTAAAAAAACAACGCCCATACATATCAGTTTTATTATGCATTTTGAACAAAATACAAGCATATTACCTCTTACAGCCATGGTTCCTTCTAAATCCATGTCGTCTTCTTCTTCTTTGGCGATCACTCGTAGCCAAGTAAGATTGTCTTCCATAAACACGGTTTTAACAGTGGGTCCTTAAGTGACTGTGGAGGCCAAATCTGGATCCACACGTCCTTCCACAGTGGGGACATAGGTTTCCCGGCGTGAGTTGATCATGGTGAGGAATTTGCCAAGCGTCCCTTGCTCATAGCGCGTTTCTCCCTTGCGTCCTGACTTTGTGTCTTCAAAGTCCATGACACCTTTGGTAAAGGCTGTTCTCCAGTTGGAGCGCTCGCAGGCCAGTGTTTCCCAGCTGTTCGTGTTTATACTACTTTTTTATATATATTTGCCTTGAGGGAGTCTTTAAATCTCTTTTGCTGACCACCGGCATTACGCTTTCCATTTCCGCAGGGGAGGCGGCTAAGAGGCATCCCCCTTATCAGGCCAGTCGGCCCTTGGTGGAATCAGCCTGGGGAGGCTTCCTTTCAGAGGCGATTGCTCCGCCCCTCCCTCCTCCTCTGATCTCTTTCTCCCCAAGCACATTTAAAGTAGAACTTCCGGCCCTGGGAAACGTGCCCTTTGGGACTCCTGCGACTTTGTGCGAAAAGTCATGAGCGCATCGTGGGTCTCCCAGGGAGGTGTCCACGCTGCCGCCGGAGGCTGACCGCCGCTTCCTCCCTCTCACCTTCCTTCGCAAACCGGGCCATAGCTGTCAACTTACAGATTTGAAAATAAGGGATCAACAGCCAAAATAAGGGACCTGCGGCCTCACCTGTTCCAGGCACTCCAGTCTTCCTGTCCTCCTGCAGTCTGGTCAAACTCATGCTGGTAGCTTCGAGAACACTGTCCAACCAGCTTTGTAACCAGAGGTTCAACTGAATAGAATCTGAAGCACATGCACCACAAGGCCTATGCAGCCTCAACTTAACATGGCTCCCCTGCCTGGCTTTGCACTCCAAAGTTTGCAGCAGCACGTGCAACAAAATGGCGTCCAGCATTCAAAAAATCCCTCAGCTTGCATTAACTAGCCACACACAAGGCATGCAAGCTCCACCCCCCAGTCATTCCTAGACTTCTTATTGGGTGAGCAACACAGCCAAGCAACACAGTTGGAGCCTCCCTCCTCCGTGGCCGGCAGGGAGGGAGGGAGAGGAGCTGCTTCCTTTGAAATTTAAGGGACACCATTTAAGGGACATCCATCAATAAGGGACAGCAGCGGGACATGGTGCTGGAATAAGGGACTGTCCCTTCAAATAAGGGACACTTGACAGCTATGAACCGGGTGCGCCCTGGCGCGCCATCGAGCACCTGCTCCTGAGTAGACCACGCACAATAAGCCTTATCCACGGCAGCAGTAAAGGCTGCTTGCCTGGAATAGCAGGGCCGGCGCACCAGGGACTTCTGGCCGGCCTAGTTCCAGGTTTGTTTGTCTGACTGGTTCATCCGTCTGTTCTCTCTGAAAGGTGGCTGGCTAGTTTTTTTATCCCTTAAGTTTTCAGCTTCTTTGATCAGACAAAAAGGTTTGTTCTCCCCCAAATCTTTAAAATGCCCCACCCCACCGAAACCAGAGGGACCGCCAAAGGGTCCATACCTGACCTGGAGATGCTGCGTTCCTTAAACTTGGGTCTCCAGCTGTTTTTGGGCTACAATTCCCATCATTATCCCTAGCTTAGCAGGACCAGTGGTCAGGGATGATGGGAGTGGTAGTCCAACAACAGGTGGAGACCCCAAGTTTGTGGGGTTTCTCTCTGAGACCTGCAGGTATATAAATAAAACCAATAAACAAAAACTAAGCGGTATATAAATGTGGTTAAATACTAATACTTAAATACCCTCCACTGCCCAATATATCTCAGAGTGCCTCAACCAGGAGTATTAAAATAAAACACCCTACTCTTCCATTTATTCCTCCCTGCCCTCTTTTCATATTTAATTTTTGAGGCCCCAGAGCAGAGGTTTTTAAAAAAATTCATCTTTTTAATGTTGTGAGGATGAAACTCACATTCCTGTACATTTGGGAGGATGAAACTCAAATTCGCACCCCGTTAAACTCTTGTGGGCCCAAGTAAACCTGCATATGACTCAGCTGCAGGCACTTTTAGCAAGCGGTAAAACCCACCGCACTCAAATAAACTGAGGCTGCAGTCCTAGACCCCCAGCCTTTGCCAATCTGGTGGCCTCCAGATGTCACTGGATTGTTAGTCTCATCAGTCCAAGCCAGCAAAGGGTGGAGAGTTATAATCCAACAACATCTGGGGGTCCTGGGCTTGCAAAGCCTGCTAAACACATTATCTAGGACTTAATGGGGATTTCTTCTAAGTAGATACCAATACTGGATTGGGCTGTTTCTTTTCAGTAAGTATAAGGCAGCTTCCTGCGTTTTACTGAAAAGTCAAACTTTTGGTCCATCTAGCCTAGTGTTGTCTACACTGGCTGGCAGCAGCTCTTCAGGGTTCCATGCAGGGAATCTCCCACAGTCCTAAATGGAGAGGCCAGAGTTTGAAACAGGGACATCCTTCGTACAAAGCAGATTCTCTACCACTGAGCTTGGGCCTTTCCCCATGGCAGGTTAGCAGCAATCCTATGCACACTTAGCTGTGTAGACATATACAGTGTAGGATTAGGCCTGAAGGAGAGCCAGCCAGAGGCTAAAAATGAAGTACTGTACAATTCCTTGGAGTACTTCCAGACAGGGGCTTAATATCCCAATGGGTCATTAGTGACAGTTTCCATGTAAATCCAGGTTAAATGGGTGGCGGGGGAGGGGTATGAACTGGTACCCTCATACCCATAACTGCAAAAAGAGTCAGAGCAACTTTCAGTAATAAGGAGCATGGACCCTGCAATAAACACCTGTCTGGAAATGAAAAAATGGGGGTGGGGTGGGGTGGAGGGCAATCCTCTATATGTTTCCTTAAATGTAAGACATGCTGAGAATTCATTCCCAGGTAAGGAGATACAAAGCATTGCGGTTAGTTTTCCCTGAGAGCAAGAAGTTTCTATATTTGCATGGAAACAAATATGCAAATATTTAAGCGAAGAATGGGAATCTCCACAAGGGGGGGGATGTCTGAACATCAGGAAGGGGAGGTGTGCTGTAAATCAATCATCTGGACAGTCACTCAAAGGTAAATCCCTTCATGTTCATTGGGGCTTCCTCCCGTTAAGTTGACACAGCATGTTATTTTACAGTACTTGGAGGAACTGATGCGGGTGGTGCTGTGGTCTAAACCACTGAGCCTCTTTGGCTTGCTGATCAGAAGGTTGGCGGTTCGAACAGGGCCATCTTAAGTATATCCGGCGCCGTGGTGCAAAGATCCCTCCGGCGCCCCCCATTTCCCAGAGTTGCCCACTTTTTTATGGCAAGCTTTGTGGGGCTGGAGGAGGCAGTCAGTGGCTCCTCTGGCGGGAAAGAGGCGGAGGCTCCGGACATGGCGCTGCTTCAGCAAGGTGGGTGAGGGTGGCAAGCTGATGCCGGGAGGTGCTGCGCCCAGCCTCCGCCTCTTCCCTGGCGCCCTCCAGAACTTGGCGCCCTGGCACCCTATGCCACTTGCCTCCATGGGCAAGGTGCCCCCTGGGTTTGAATCCCTGCAACAGGGTGAGCTCCTGTTGCTCTTTCCCAGCTCCTGCCAACCTAGTAGTTTGAAAGCATGCCAGTGCAAGTAGATAAATAGGTACCGCTGCGGCGGGAAGGTAAACACTGTTTCTGTGCACTATGGTTTGCATCACGGCATTCTGTTGCACCAGAAGCGGTTTAGTCATGCTGGCCACAGGACCCGGAAAGCTGTTTGAGGACAAACACCGAGATGAGCGAGATGAGCGCCACAACCCTATAGTTGCCTTTTACTGGACTTAACTGTCCAGGGCTCCTTTACATTTTTACCATTACTTGGAGGAGGAACAGACTGGTTTTGGCATAAGCTCTCTGGCCACAAATGCCACAATAAATAGCACCATCCAGTGCACATCACCTTGGAAGTGAGTACAGTTGTGTTCAATGGGACTTGCTCCCAGAATTATTTCCTTTCGCAGAACTACAGCCTCAGTGCAATCCTATGCCTGTGTACTCAGCCAGATGTAAATCCGAATCTAGCCCAATGGAAGAGAATCACTCACTAGTAACTACTAGTTAGTTTTTAAGGTGAACTTGTTGCCATTCCATCAGCCCCAGCCAACATCGCCAATGCTCAGAGATGATTGGGCATTGCATTCACACAGGTGTAGCGGCCTAGGGTTGTGGAGAGTGTGTGTGTCAAAAATACACTACTATTTCTGCAGCAGGGTCTCTGTCTCCAGCATCCTAGAGGCCTCCAATTGGGATGAAGGAGGAGCCTTTTAGCCAAGGTCTTCATATCCTTCCTGCCGATTGGAGTCAATCAGAGTGAAAGGAGATGAGTCAGCCATTGGCTTCTGGGGAAACTCTGGAGAAAGTGTGCAGGAAAAAACCCTGAGGAGTGTGTGCCCTCCCACATGCTCCAATGCATACAAATGATGTCATGTGGACACTGAGAAAAACTTGCATGCATGAGAAAGGCCGGTCGAAGGATATGCACCAATTTGGAAACACCCTGATTCTAATTAGCGCAAGGAGCTTAGAGTGAGTCTGGGAAGAGCTCTGTGTCCAGACACCTTTTCCTAGTAGTAGGAAGCAATTGTAGAACACAGTCATTTGTTTATTTCATACATTTTATGCATTGCTTTATTGAAAAACAAACAAACAAAAAGCACCTACAATGGGTCAAGGGCCAAACGGTATTTCCAGGATTGGAGCAGATCTTATTTCCTCTGCCTTTTTGTGTGTGGAAGAAAGCAGAAATGCTTCTCTGGAGTTTTTCTTTTTAGATACAGTATGAAAGCTCTGGTAACTGGGCATCGGAGCTTCCCAGAACCTCAAAGAAAACAAATGTGACGCCATCTAGTGCCCAAGAGCATACACAGCAAGCACAGCTTTCTGCTACAATGGCTTCTGTCAACCCTGATGTATTATGTTTTACCTCCACTGCTGGAGGGTGTGTGCTTCTGAATGCCAGTTACTGGGAACAGCAAGATGGGGGAGTGTGCCTAAACTCAGGTCCTGCTTGTGGATTTCTTATAAGCAACTGGTTGGCCACTGTGAGAACAGGATGCTGGAGAGTGGATGAGCCACTGACCTGCCCCACCATGTTTTCCTTATGCAACCCCATCAACTGTGGTCTAAACCACAGAGCCTAGGGCTTGCCGGTCAGAAGGCTGGCAGTTCGAATCCCCGCAACGGGGTGAGCTCCCGTTGTTCGGTCCCAGCTCCTGCCAACCTAGCAGTTCGAAAGCACGTCAAAGTACAAGTAAATAGGTACCGCTCTGGCAGGAAGGTAAACAGCGTTTCTGTGGGCTGCTCTGGTTTTGCCAGAAGCGGCTTAGTCATGCTAGCCACATGACCTGGAAAAACTGTCTGCAGACAAACGTTGGCTCCCTCGGCCTGTAAAGCGAGATGAGTGCCGCAATCCCAGAGTAGTTCGCGACTGGACTTAACTGTCAGGGGTCCTTTACCTTTACTCCTCCTAACAATATTGTTTCCCCACCCCCCAGGTAGGTAAGAAGGCTGTGAAGGCAGATGGTTTCATAAGTTTGAGCAACTTCACCGTTCCTTATCCATCAAATTAAAAGCACAGAAGTTTATGACACGTTGGAGGAAATACGCCAATGTGGTGCTGTGGTTAGAGTGTCGGATTAGGACCAAGAAACCTGGATTTAACCCCACTCAGCCATGAAGTTACCTGGGTGACCTTAGACTATTCCCTGCCTCTCAGCCCAACTTACTTCGCAGGGTTCTTATGGGGATTAAATGAAGAGGGAGGGAGAACCACGTATGCTACCGTTGAGCTCCTTGGAAGAAAAGGTGGGATATAAATGAAATAAATAAATAAATAGCTACACGATAGGTTAGAAGCAATAATAAACTAGTAGCGTAAGGTACACACAACTGAAAGGTAAAAGTGGGTGTATCAAACAAGCAGGACCTTTGCTCAGTGGATACCATTAACACATTGCTATTTGCTGCGTATTTTCTTCTATCGCTTGCAGTCACAAGAAAATACAGTATAATGGTAAAAAAAAAAAAAGGTAAAGGACCCCTGGATGGTGAAGTCCAGTCAAAGGAGACTATGGAGTTGCAGTGCTTATCTTGCTTTCAGGCCAAGGGAGCCGGTGTTTGTCCACAGACAGCTTTCCGGGTCATGTGGCCAGCAGGACTAAACTGCTTCTGGCGCAACAGGACACCGTGACGGAAACCAGAGTGCACAAAAACGCTATTCACCTTCCCGCTACAGTGGCACCTATTTATCCACTTGCACTGGTATACTTTCGAACTGCTAGCTTGCCAGGAGTTGGGACAGAGCAACAGGAGTTCACTCCGTCGCGGGGATTTGAACTGCCAGCCTTCCGATTGGCAAGCCCAAGAGGCTCAGTGGTTTAGACCACAGCGCCACCCACTCCCTAACACAGTATAATGACTATGAGGCTAACACCCATACAGCTTTCTCTCTGTATGCCCAAAGTTTAACCTTGCACCTCATTCAGATGAAGCAATTCTCAGAATACCTAGATGTGAGTAAGCATGCCTCTCTCGTTCCAATTTTGGGCATGTATGAAAGGCTATGGTGCAATTCTAAATCCAGTTTTATATGGATGAAAGGACATTTTCTGCAAAATTATTTAGTTTTTATCCTGCACTTGTTCTCAAGAAGTTCAAAGTGATGAACACAGTTCTCTTCCCCCTCCCCGTTTTATATCTACAACAACCCTGCGAGGCAGGTCAGGGTGAAAGAGAAAGACCAGCCTAAGCTCCCCCAGTGACAATCCACTCACCAGTAAGAATTTCTGAATTAAGCATGTCCTCTCTTCCACTAGCTGGTGGGGTATGGTGACTTCCTTCCTGGGGGAGAAACATGAAAGAGAGGATACAAGTCAGCTGAAACTATAGTTTATGCCAAAGACTGACAGCATTTAATTGAGGAGGGGGTTTGAAGGCAACAAGGACAATATAGGCCAAACTTTCACTGAGGTGTTCAACCACGAGTGGGGAACCTGTGGCCTTCCAGATATTGCTGGACTACAATTCCCATCATCCCTGACCATTGGTTAAGTTGACTTGGGCTGATGGGAGTTGGAGTCAAAACAACTTATAGATAGCCACAGGTTCCTATCCTTGTGGTAAACTTTTGTGTGGGGAGCAATACTCCTCCCAGATTTCAGGTGGACAAATTAGATTCCCAGATTCCAGGCTGATACGCTAATTCTCTATGCATTGGGATGTATTTATTTCGGTGTGAAAGATCACTTAATCGTGTGAGCCCACACCTGCAGTCTGAAGCGTTGCAGCCCAGATACTGGTTTTCCTCCTCTGGGAGAGCCAAGCCATGGATCAGAGAGAACGTTCAGTGGATAGCACAATGGCAGAGAGTGGGAAGGACAGTATCTCAGATACGTTGGGCCTACAAGGATTTGTCCATACGCGGTTAAGAACTCTCTGATTATCAGAGGACTTATATCTTGTTTTTCTGATTCCAGAAGCAAATCCAGAAAGTGGTTTGCATCAGCAGAAGTTAATTAATTACCAAAAATCAATTTTAAAAATACAAGCAAAGACTATAATCAAAAACAGTGAAATGAATTAGTAGTGGATCAAAACACAAAAGCCCAGAGAGGGATCACTTCTTAAACCTGTGGGGAACCTCTGGCTCTCCAGGTGTTTGTTGAACTATAATTTCCATAATCCCTGACAATTGACCTTGCCAGTTGGAAACTGGAGTCCAACGTCTGTCAGGCCACAAGTTCTCCATTCTTGGCCTAAGGCAGGGGTCAGCAAACTTACCGCGCCTTGGTCTCCAGCGCCAATTGCACTGGGGGAGCGCGTGCCCATACGCGTGCACGCACGCTATTTCCGGCACACCTCCGGGTTGGAGGAGCACCTGAAATAGCTTGTGCGCATGTGCATGGGCCTCCTCCAACCCGGATATGCACTGGAAATAACACTTGTGCATGCGCAAACAACGCTCCTCCAACCCGGAAGTGGGCAGCCACGCAGCGCTGGTATGAGCGGGCGGTGGGGGTCACCATGGGCCGGATAAACGAGTCTCTCGGGCCTTATCCGGCCCGCGGACCTTAGTTTGGGGACCCCTGGCCTAAGGGAATAGGCACGTTCCTATAGGGCAGTCTTCACCAACCTCATGCACTCCAGATGTTTTGGACTACAAACAGTGCGCTACTGGCTGTTGCTGGTGGGAGCTGTAGTCTGAAACATCTGGAAGGTACTAGGTTCGCAAAGAACGACATGGAGGAGACAGCCCTTCAATTATTGTGGGTCCAAGTCATTCAGGTCTTTAAAGATGGTGACCAAAATTTTGGATTTCACCTGGAATAGGACGATACCCATTGGTTTCCATAGATACTGCAGAATACTAAGGATCTGTAATGATGGGGGAAAGGAGCTGGACAGGGACAATCAATTTGATGTTTTAGGATTTCATGTAACTGGAAGAAGAAGCATTGATAAAATTCACATTCACATTGGTTACTGAGGTAAATCTTTGTGGGCAGAAGTTCATTTTTCACAAGGCAGCCTTGCACATTGCCACGTTTTCAATTCCTTTTTTCCTTTCTTCTTTTGCGCCTGATTCTTCAGAGAGATTTATGATTATGTTGATGATGACCACGCACAGCCTTTTCTTCCCCTCCTTGCCTGGCAGAATATCCCCGTATGCTAATAATATGATGATGTCGGCTAATATAAATATTAATCTCATCCCTTTTGGGAAGGATTTTAGTGCTTGCTGGATTTCATGAAATATAATCCAGGGGAGAATAACATTATACTGCCAGTGTGGAATGCAAACTACGATTTGAATAAAATGATAGGGATGGTATCAAATAGTTCCTTGAGGGAGTATTATGCTCTGAGCTGTCACAACGGATTGCCTGAATAAACTAGACTGGAGATGTGATCCTAATCATATTGATGAAACATTCATCTGAAAGAATGAGTACAACCAGAAGGGACTCACTAGGAATACAATTAAATCCTAATCTGGGCAGGAGAAATCCTCTGAAGAGACGATGGCAGGAAAACAATGAGAATAGGAAGGGGGAAACTAGGTGAGGCGATGTTCGGCTTTCTGGTATCGTCCCTCGGACCTCCATAAAGAAGGCAGCGGCCCATCAAACCCAGTCCACTATAATGTTTAAAAGTCCACTCCATGTTTTCTACTAGGCCTAGCTGACCAGAATCAGGAGCCATTTTAGGTTTTCCTCAGGGCTCACTTCCTTCTCACTCTAGGCTTGGTCAGCCAGACTCAGGTAGGCCTCAGCGAACAGATCTGTTTGCACTAAAGCTGCTTAAACGAAGCTGGACTTTTGCTTTGAAGAGCATTTCCCAGGGTCCACAAAGAAGCTTACCCAGGAATCAGTACTATTTTTCTAGAAAAAGAGGTGCTGGAACTCGTCACGAACGCCTCCCTCGTTCTATTGAATGACAACAGCTCTGACCTGAAAAGTGCCGGAACTGAATTCCGGAAAGTTCCGGCTGAAAAAAGCCCTGATCCTTGGTAATCCAGGCATGCACCTGAAGTTCAAGTTCTGCTGCTGGTTCAGGTGCTGCTGGTTTAATCCTCCACCTCATCTCTGGTTGCCCTTTCCTTCTGACCCCTCTTGGCACCCGGCCTGCTTGTCTTCCTAGAATTGTGCCTGTTTACCTGGCTGTTCAACCTTGTTAACCTGCCTATTTTTGCTTTCATACAGTTGGTGGGGGGGAGCCCTGCCTGGACTGTTGCATTGCAATCTGTGTGGGGCTTCCCTTGCCGCTGGTCTCAAGGCTGCAGCTGGGGCAGGACCCCACAGCCCAGTTGAGGGCTGGTGCTCCTTATCGGGCACACATCCTGCCAGTGCTGAGCGTGCTGCACTGGCTGCCAATCAGACACCAAGCCTTTTTTTGGGGATTCTGCTACTTACATACAAAGCCCTAAATAAATCTGCACCATGTTACTACCACCTTCTGCTCTGTTGCCCGCTAAGGGTGCTACAGCCAGCAAATGTCACCTTTTGAGATCCTCTCTAAAGAACAACGAGAGAGATCTTTTCTATCTGAGCTCAGCTGGTTAGAGCAGGGGTCAGCAATTTTTTTTAGCCACGGGCCAGTCCACTGTCCCTCAGACCTTGTGGTGGGCCAGAGAAGGGGCACCTAGGGAGGAGAGAGCTGGAAGAAGAGGTGAGGGGGGCAAGTAGTCCTACCCTCTAGCCCCAGCCCCAGCCGCTGTGCTTACCTTCCCAGGGGCTGCCGCCACCACCACCACCACTACTGTTTGTTCTTCTTGTGGGTAGGCAGAGTGAGCTCGTCCGCTCTGCTCTCTGGCCCACAGGAGCACCAGGGCGGCGGTGGCAGCAGCGGCAGAGGGAAGATGAGCGGCTCGAAAGGGCTGGCTCCAGAGAGGGACTGCTTAAAATGGCACTCAGTCAGCTCAGCCTAGCCCTCATCCTCCTCTAGGCAAGGCGAGGAGAAGCCAGGAGGAGGGAGGGAGGAGTGTGTGTGGGGGGGGGATGGAATGGGGCAGGGAGGGATATGGCACAGCCCGAACGAACAGAATCCCCATGCCAATCCACGGACAGTCTGCTGGCCGGATCCTGAAGGCAATTGGGCCTGATCCGGCCCGCAGCCCTTAGTTTGGCAATCCCTGGGTTAGAGGTAAAAATGTAAAGGTAAAGGGACCCCTGACCATTAGGTCCAATCGTGGCTGACTCGGGGGGTTAGAGGTAAGGACCCTTATATGGTTAAGACCAGTCAAAGGCGATTATGGGTTGCGATGCTCATCTCGCTTTCAGGCCGAGGGAGCCGGCGTTTGTCCACAGACAACTTTCTGGGTCATGTGGCCAACATGACTAAACTGCTTCTGGCGCAACAGGACATCGTGACGGAAACCAGAGTGCACGGAAACGCTGTTTACCTTCCCGCCGCAGCGGTACGTACTTATCTACTTGCACTGGTGTGCTTTCGAACTGCTAGGTTGGCAGGATCTGGGACAGAGCAACGGGAGCTCACTCTGTCATGGGGATTTGAACTGCCCGCCTTCTGATCGGCAAGCCCAAGAGGCTCAATGGTTTAGACCACAGCGCCACCCTTGTGTGTATCAGCATGGTGCTGATAATGCCAAGGTTTGCAGGTTCGATCCCCCTATGGGAGGACAGCTGCATATTCCTGCATTGCGGGGGGTTGGGCTAGATGATCCTCAGGATCCCTTCCAACTCTGCAGTTCTATGATCTTCGGGATTATCTCCAATCTCAGCTCTGTGGTGCTTAGCATCGAGATCTGAGAAGCTTTCACCACAACACAATGTGGCCCTGTGGTTGAAAAATGTTCCCTGCGCTTCTGCTATGTGCAGTTAACCTGGGAGCAACTCCCATGGAACTTAGTAGAGTTTACTTCTGAGTAAATCTCTGAGTGGGCCTAACCCATAGTGCTAGCCCTCTGTTTTCAGTTTCAACACTCCAGCCACATATAATGAAATGAGGAAGAAAAGGTTTCTTTCTGATAAATCCCCACTTCCCTTGAGCCAATCCTCTTTTGTCCAATGTCCTTAGCATGCTGTTTGCCTTGACTGCAGCCCAAGAGGTAATGCCCATTTCTTCTAGCAGAAAAAAGAGGTTTTATAGGTTACATTTAAGAGTGGCAGCCCTAAAAGATACAGATCTTTTGCCTGGGGTTAACAACTCCGGAGATTTCTGAAGGTACATTAACACCTTAGATTTAGGTACCACACAGCAACAAGCATACATCTTTGGAAGATGGAAGCAAATCAGACACTGCCTTTGTATGTCACAGGGGATTACACCGTTTTAGTGTTTATGCCCTTTGGCTTTACAAATGTACCTGTCAGTGCTCCAGAGGTTAGCGAGGAGGGTCTGGGTTAAAATGGACTTACTGGAGTTATTTTGCTTTCTGCAGATCACGTGGAAACTTCAGGAGATTGGGAAAGGCTTGTTGTGATTCAGAAGGATTATGGAGCCTTTGGTTGTTTAACGTTGTTGGGCTTTTATGGTGCTTTTAGGCAATGCTTTTCTTCTGCATACCCTTTGCATACCCAGAAAAAAGCACTGCTTTTATGGATTTGTGCTGGTCTGGCTTGCTGCTCAATATGCGCGCAAGCTACCTAAACTGGAGAAATTCAGAATCTACAGAGTGGCATCCGTCAGTTGAATTGTTTTATGGCTTATCTAATAATGCATGTTTAGAAACCGGAAGGATTCCTGTTTTGGTCATATAAGTGTGACCTGCAACAAAATGGTGGAGTCTGGAGTGCTCTTATTCAGGATGCCGGCCAGCCATGACCTTTTCCAGGATATTCCATTCCATCCCCCCCATAATTTTCAGTTCTGCCATGCAACAGTCAGTCAGCATTCGGCTGTTTAGGGGATTCGTTTCCCTCCTCAAAAATTCATTGTCCATCTGAAAACCTTGGTGTCCCCCTTTGTCTGCTGATATCTTCCCTTTTTTGTGTGGGTCATGCTGCTTTGGCTACTTAAGGACGGACAGTTGGAAAATGAGTGGACTCTGGGAAAACAATATAGGATTGTGTAACTTCAGAGTACCCCAGAGTACCTAAGGAGCTTACTGGGAACTCACTGTATGAAACTGAAGCCCGGGGGTCAAGAACACTAGGGATAACATTGACTCTTTTGAGTTACTGGTATTATTAGTTAGTAGTAGTAGTGTTCATATTGTTATTAGTAATAGTCTTGGTAGTATTAATAGTAAAGATAAAAGTAAAAGACCCCTGGACGGTTAAGTCCAATCAAAGGCGACTATGGGGTTGTGGCGCTCATCTTGCTTTCAGGCCGAGGGAGTCGGTGTTTGTCCACAGACAGCTTTTCTGGCTCATGTGGCCAGCATGACTAAACCACTTCTGGCGCAACAGAACACTGTGACAGAAGTCAGAGTGCATGGAAACGCTGTTTACCTTCCCGCCGGAGCGGTACCTACCGTATTTATCTGCTTGCACTGGCGTGGTTTTGAACTGCTAGGTTGGCAGGAGCTGGGACAGAGCAACGGGAGCTCACCCCATTGCGGGGATTCAAACCACTGACCTTCTGATCGGCAAGCCCAAGAGGCTCAGTGGTTTAGAACATAGCGCCATCCGCTTCCCATAGTTAGTAGTATTCATATTATTAGTAGCATTTCTTACCTGTCCTTCACCAGAAGGTCATAAGGTATACTACATATATAAAACAACAAACAGTTTAAAAAAATCAGTCTATAAAATGCATTATAGGGAGGGCACCCAAATCAGTTATTCAATTTCCCAAGAGATGGACATAAGCTGTAAAGGAATGATGCTTAGATGTACCTCTGTGGGGAAGGAGTTCTACCAGTGGCAGACTTGTGGTTTAAATTTTCAGTGCTGCCTTGTGTGATGCCAAAATTTGATGCCCTGCACCTCTCACCTTCCACTGTTTGTCATTATTGCAGCCCTGAGTGCAGGTGAACTAGCCGTGCTCCCCTAAATCCTCTGGCTCTATATTCTTTGAGCCACCATTGAGAAGATCCTCTCACGAGCCCCAATCCCACTGAACTTCTTAGAGCGATGGAAGAAGTTCCAGGCGGTTTCCTCTGCTCGGCCTCCTGCTTAGAGAAGCTTAAAAGGTTGGTGTTGTTGCTTGGGTAGCCACAGGACAGGACCCTCAGCACCCTTTTGCAGCCCACCACTCTAAAAAATCACCCACCTCCTGTTTTATAGCTGTGTGACACAACTTACATGCTTAGCCCAGGCTCCAGCCTTAGTCACATAACTGGAAATATCTTTTCCTAAGAGTTTGGATAAATGCTTTCATCATGTGGCTCAGATATCTTAGCATTGCCTGATCATTGCTTTTTTGGGGGGGGGTGTTGCTTATATAATGAAAAGCTGAAGAATCACACATTTCATTAGATGTGGTTACATACAGAATTACCTTATCTGATCCATTAGAAATGATGTTAGTATAAGCAAATTCAAAAGACATGTACAAAAATGGAAAGTTGGTAAAAAGAGATGTATAGAAAGGAAGCTAATAATACAGTGATATCTCTGGTTACAAACTTAATTCGTTCTGGAGGTCCGTTCTTAACCTGAGGTACCACTTTAGGTAATAGGACCTCCTGCTGCCGCCGCACCGCTGCCGCATGATTTCTGTTGCCATCCTGAAGCAAAGTTCTTAACCCAAGGTACTATTTCTGGGTTAGCGGAGTCTGTAACCTGAAGCGTCTGTAACCCGAAGTACCACTGTAATACGAATAGTGTAAAAAGAGAGAGAGAGAGAGAGGACACCATAGAAGAGGGGGAAAGAATGAGAAATGAAGGGGGAAAGAGGAGAAAGAGATAAGAGAGAGCAGGGGAAAATGTGTATATTTGTATGTGTACGGTATATGCAAACTACATAATCCATTTTCAAAAGATTTTTGTTATTATTAGTTTTACCTCCCTAGCTGGCTGCAGTGCTTTGCTGCCATCTAGTGGGGGGAAAGTCAGTGAAAATGATTGTTTTGGAATCAATTGTCTGAGAAACTTAGAAATTATCTCACACAGATTACAGGGAAATACATTTTCTGTTTCTGGATAGGTTCCTTCAGCAAACATACAATTGCTTCATCTTTCACACATCATCTCTGAAGTCTTAAAATAGCACAGCCCCCACCCACCTCCTGACCTCTTTCCCTCAAACCGTCTCAAGATTCCATTCTTTTCTGTTCCTACTGTATCCTTTCCATTTTTTAAAAAAAATAATTCTCCAGACTAGATTTATTTTTACTGGTTGTTTCTTCAAGATGACTTGTGCATGAGACAAAAGCCTTTGAGGATCCCAATTGCAATTTGGAGCTAAGATGGGGGATAAATTTGTTTCAGTTCACACCTGAAGGTGAACTTAACAAATCTGCATTTGCTAAAACACAGCCATTATTCAAAATTTGCACATATCCAAATTCTGCAGCCAAATAACACATAACCAAAATGCATATCCTAGGGTAAAACATGAATATAAAGGCATATGTGTGTGTATGTGTGTGAAAATAACATACAAATGCATTATATTAAGGGAAATTGCTTTGCAAAAATGTGTGCATTGGGCAAAATTGCATATAAAAATGTGTATCCTGGGAGAAATCCGTACCAAAAACGATGATGAATTTTCATGAGGCCTTAAAAAAATCTGGAGAATTGAACTGAAGACTGTAAAAGTGAAAAACTGAAACTAACATCTTCTCCCATCTCCACTTTGGAGCAGTTTTTAGAAGTGTAAGCCTCACATTGTCCTATAACTATGAACATGGGATCCTGGGAAAGTTCTTTTGAGCATTGCAGGTTGAGCTTAAATCAGAAGAAATTATTTTATGGGGGCTCTCTAGTCAGTTCTTTGAGGAAGTAGCGTATCATCCTGTCCTTATCTGTTCTGTGTCCTTTACTATTTTTCCAACACACTCTGCCTTTCAAATAAGCCATGTGCTTTGGAGTCTAATGTTGTAATCATTGTCTTTTTGCATCAGCAATAGGTTTGTTGCCAAAAGGTAGCCCTTGTTGGAAGACAGAAGGAAAGAAAATGGTGTGCGTCCGGGGGCATGGGGACATATTGCTAGGTCAATAATACTGAATTGAAAATATTTGCTAGGTTGCAGTGGCAGCCTAATAAATTATCTTCCCCACATGGGGAAGAGGGTGAAAAAGGCACCGCCAATCAACTCCCTTCACAATTCTCATGCTCAAAATCTTCTCATTCATTTCTTCAACTCCTGAACATCTTCCCAAGGATGGGAGGACATTAAAAGCCTCTGCTTCCTCCCTCCAATCTCCAATCTGCCCCCTTTTTTTAACTCCACCAACACTTTTCAAACATCCCCTTCCCTAGCAGACGGGAGCACTAAAACATCAGGATCCCCTAAATGGTGCCCATATTTTATATACAGTGGTACCTCGGGTTACAGACGCTTCAGGTTACAGACTCCGCTAACCCAGAAATATTACCTTGGGTTAAGAACTTTACTTCAGGATGAGAACAGAAATCGTGCTCCAGCGGCGCAGCGGCAGCAGGAGGTCCCATTAGCTAAAGTGGTACCTCAGGTTAAGAACAGTTTCGGGTTAAGAACGGACCTCCGGAACTAATTAAATTCTTAACCCAAGGTACCGCTGTATTACAACAAATTCTACTGTGCCTCAAGGACATGCAAAGCAGGCTAGGAAGTAGGGGTGTGCACAGGGCCGTCTTTACCTGGGGGTGCAAGGGGTGCGGGGCACCCGGGTGCCAAATTCTGGGGGGCGCAAAATGTATACCCACTGTATACTGGTCCCTCTTGATCAGCGGCAGTGAAAAGCAATGGAGCAAAAGTCGCCGCCCCCCTGCTCCATCGCTCTGTTACTCCGTAGCATCAAATATTCCCGACGAGTCAGGAAACAAAGGCAGTTTTCCCCGGCTGCGTCGTTGTTACAGGTGAGCGATTTCCCCCCTAAAGAAAGGTCAACAAAGTTAATTTGGGGGTGCTGGGCAGATCTTTGCCCCTCCGGCGGCGCATATGCTAAAGACAGCCCTGGGTGTGCATCAGATTCAGATGAATCCCAAATCAAGAACCAAAGTGGGTCAATTCAGACATATTCAGGGTCTGTCAGAGGCAAAGTGGGATCTCATCAAAGTACCCTAAAAAAACAGGGACCTCCAATGAGATTTGGGGTGATCTGGAGATTCTGAGATTTTCTTTAGTGCAGCATACCTGCAAAAATCAAAACATTTCTCCCCAAATTTGCCATGAATATTCACTGCCTTAGGACCATTTCACCTTAATACACACATGTGCTTTAAATGCTCATAACAAGACAGTGCCAGTGTCTGGACCTCATCTATGTGAACTGGCTGGTAATCAATGTCACTGTGTTCCTCATCCAGCTTCTGTATAACTACCATCAACCATTTCTTTTAAAAGATCACATTTAACTACAGTGGTACCTCAGTTTAAGAACAGTCTGGTTTAAGAACGATTCAGTTTACAAATGCCGCAAAACCGGAAATTGTGTCCCGGTTTGAGAACTTTACCTCAATCTAAGAATGGAATCCGAATGGTGGAAGGGCACCGGTGGCGGGAGGCCTCATTAGGGAAAGCATGCATTGGTTTAAGAATGGTTTTAGTTTATGAACGGACTTCCAGAACGGATTAAGTTTGTAAACTGAGGTACTACTGTACCATGTCTTCGAAGACATGGTATCTTGAATGCTGTTATGAGTTTGTTGGTGCTAGACACCCTAAATTCCTGGGTCCAGTTGGTGTTAGAATTTATCAAACAACAAAGCAATGCAGAGAGAAAAAACTCATAAAGCACAACTCTGTAAATGGAAAATAATAGTATTTTAAATATATTGTACACAAAATATCACAATATAACATGTATTTATATTCCAATTGCTATGAACTTAAACTACACACATGTGCGTGTGCGCACACACATACACACAGAGTCTCTGCAGTCTCTGGTCAATCTTGAAGTGATCTATACAATCCTACATATTACTATTCAATGTCTCCACTTCTAAAAGTTCAACTATATTGCACTGAAGTCCAGAGCGTCGATTCTCTGTGTTAAATTTTCTAGTTGAAAACTGTGTATGAGGAGGACTTTGACAACAAGACATCCGGGTAAAATCTCTGTTTCGTCGCCCTTCATCAGGTCAGTCCAAGTACATCAAAGTCTTCCTCATGCACAGTTTTCTAACTGGGTGTTACAATTTAATCAAGCCTCCTGAACCCCTGGGTCCAGCAAGGATTAAAATTTAAGCCAGGCCAGTCTCCTGATGAGGTAATCCCCTGGGAGATGAACCATTAAGAAAACAAAAGGATGGTAATGACCATTAAGAAAGCTATGGGGAGTGGTTATGTGCCAAATGGCAAGTGGGTGGGGCCCCTCCTACAGCACTTTGAAGTTAGCTTTGAAGACAAAGCAGAGTTTGAAGTAGACTTTTAGGGCTGACTGTGATGTGATCCAGCGGGGGAGGTTGCACTCTGTTAAAGGCAGTAAGCTGGAGAGAGGGTCAGAGCACGATGGCTGGTTTCTGCTTGAATCCTAAGCTGCAGCTATGGGACAAGCAAGACCCTCTTGGAGTGCTGATGCTGCAAACCCCTCCATTGCAGGCTCAGGTTGTATATATGTGTAAAGAAACCATATACAGTGGTGCCCCGCAAGACGAACGCCTCGCAAAACGAAAAACTCGCAAGACGAAAGGTTTTTTCGTTTTCGAGTTGCTTCGCAAGACGAATGTCCCTATGGGCTTGCTTCGCAAGACGAAAACGTCTTGCAAGTTTGTTTCCTTTATCGTAAAACCGTTAAAACCCAGGGTGCATTGCTTGAAGAGGTGCAGTTGCGACTTGACCTCGAGGAGCAACACATTGCACGCGGTGTGGTGGCCTTTCTGAGCTTTTTAAAGAGTTTGCTGGATTTTTGAAGCTTTTCCAAAACTTCTTCTACAGCTGTTTGGTAAGTTGAACTTTTAAAACTTTTTTGGGTTTTTAGGATTTTGGGTTGGGGTGTTTAGAATTCAAGGACTTGGTGTTGGGGAGAGGTTTGCAAGAATCTGGGAGCTTGTGTGGTTTTTTTCTGCATTTTTATGATTTTCTGTGACCATTGGGCCATGTTTATTTTTTTTTAAAAAAAATCTGGCTTTGAATTTTTGAATTTCTGTGTGCTGGGTGGATGGGGAACAGCTGGGGAGGTGTTTGCAAGAATCTGGGAGCTTGTGTGCTTTTTTTTGAATTTTTATGATTTTTTGTGACCATTGGGCCATGTTGTTTTTTTTGAAAAAGTTTCTGGGTTTTAAATTTCTGTGTGCTGGGTGGATGGGGAACAGCTGGGGAGGTGTTTGCAAGAATCTGGGAGCTTGTGTGCTTTTTTTGAATTTTTATGATTTTTGTGACCATTGGGCCTTGTTGTTTTTTTTTGAAAAATTTTTCTGGGTTTTAAATTTCTGTGTGCTGGGTGGATGGGGGACCAGCTGGGGAGGTGTTTGCAAGAATCTGGGAGCTTGTGTGCTTTTTTTTGAATTTTTATGATTTTATGTGACCATTGGGCCATGTTGTTTTTTTTTGAAAAAGTTTCTGGGTTTTAAATTTCTGTGTGCTGGGTGGATGGGGGAACAGCTGGGGAGGTGTTTGCAAGAATCTGGGAGCTTGTGTGCTTTTTTTTGAATTTTTATGATTTTTTGTGACCATTGGGCCATGTTGTTTTTTTTGGAAAAAAGTTTCTGGGTTTTAAATTTCTGTGTGCTGGGTGGCTGGGGGAACAGCTGGGGAGGGGTTTGCAAGAATCTGGGAGCTTGTGTGCTTTTTTTTGAATTTTTATGTTTTGTGTTGACCATGGGGCCAGGTTGTTTTTTTTTGAAAAAGTTGCGGGGTTTTGTATTTCTGGGTGCTGGGTGGATGTGGGAACAGCTGGGGAGGTGTTTGCAAGAATCTGGGAGCTTGTGTGCTTTTTTTGAATTTTTATGGTTTTCTGTAACCATTGGGCCATGTTGTTTTTTTTTGAAAAAGTTTCTGGGTTTTGAATTTCTGTGTGCTGGGTGGCTGGGGGAACAGCTGGGGAGGGGTTTGCAAGAATCTGGGAGCTTGTGTGCTTTTTTTTGAATTTTTATGGTTTTCTGTAACCATTGGGCCATGTTGTTTTTTTTTGAAAAAGTTTCTGGGTTTTGAATTTCTGTGTGCTGGGTGGCTGGGGGAACAGTTGAGGAGGGGTTTGCAACAGTTGGGGAGGGGTTTGCAACAGTTGGGGAGGGGCTGGGGGAACAGTTGAGGTTTTTGAAGACTTTGGTGATTTTTAAAGCTTTCCCAAAATTTCTTTTGCAGCCATTTGAGGATTTTGAAGACTTTGGTGATTTGCAGCCATTTCGTAAGTTAAACTTTTAAAACTTTTTTTGGGGTTTTTGGATTTTGGGTTGGGTGTTTGGAATTCAAGGACTTGGTTGTGGGTTTGAATTGCTGATTTTTTTTTTCTTTTTCTGAGTTTTACAAAGGTAACAGCTGTGCTGCCATGGGACCCAAGAAGACTGCTGCTGCTGCGGAGGCCGGCGAGAGGAAGAAGGAGAAGGTGACGCTGGAGATGAAGAAGGAGATCATCCGGAAGCACGACGCTGGAATGCGTGTGACGGACCTCGCCAGGGAGTACGGCAGGAACCCATCGACCATCGGGACCATCCTGAAGATGAGGGAGAAGATCCTTGCGACTGATGCAGCCAAGGGAGTCACCAGGATCGTGAAGAACCGCCCAGCTGTTCTGGAGGAGGTCGAGAAGTTGCTCCTCATCTGGATAGAAGAGAAGCAGCGTGCAGGGGACACAGTGACTGAGGCCGTGATTTGTGAGAAGGCCAAGGCCTTGCACGCAGACCTCATCCGGGAACAGCCAGGAACCTCGGCCGAGCCAGAAGTCTTCAAGGCAAGCAGAGGCTGGTTTGACCGGTTCAAGGCAAGATCCGGAATCCACAGCGTGGTCAGGCATGGAGAGGCTGCCAGTTCTGATGTTTCTGCGGCTGAAGACTTTGCCTTGGAGTTCCTGGAGGTTGTGAAGACGGAGGGCTACGTTCCACAGCAGGTCTTCAACTGCGACGAGACCGGGCTGTTTTGGAAGAGGATGCCCAAAAGGACTTTCATCACTCAGGAGGAGGCCAAGTTGCCTGGCCACAAGCCCATGAAGGACCGTCTGACCCTGCTCTTCTGTGCCAACGCAAGCGGCGACCTGAAGATCAAGCCCCTGCTGGTGTACCACTCGGAGAACCCACGGGCCTTCAAGAAACACAAGGTCGACAAGGAGCGGCTGAGTGTCATGTGGCGATCCAACAGCAAGGCTTGGGTCACACGTGTGCTGTTTGTGGACTGGGTCAATCTTGCCTTTGGCCCTGCTGTCAAACAGTACCTGCTGGACAATGACCTGCCGCTGAAGGCTTTGCTTCTGATGGACAATGCTCCTGCTCATCCTAAAGGCCTTGAGGTGGACTTGTTGGAGGAGTTCAGCTTCATCAACATCATGTTCCTGCCGCCTAACACCACGCCACTGCTCCAGCCGATGGATCAGCAGGTCATCGCCAATTTCAAGAAACTCTACACCAAGGAGCTTTTCAGGCGATGCTTCGAGGTGACTGATTGCACCACCATCACCCTGCGGGAATTCTGGAAGGACCACTTCGACATCGTCACCTGCTTGAAGATGATCACCACGGCCTGGAAGGGGATCAGCCAGAGGAATTTGAATTGCGCTGGCGCAGCCTGTGGCCGGACTGTGTGGCACCAAGTGACTCTGATGCACCAGAGTCGACAGTGGTGCAGGACATTGTTGCCTTGGGGAGGACCTTGGGCCTGGAGGTCACAGAGGAGGACGTTTGCGAGCTGGTGGAGGAGCACGACGACGAGCTGACCACCCAGGAGCTGGTTGCACTGCAGTCAGAGGTTGCGCAGGAGCAGGCCTCGCTGGAAGAGGAGGAAGCAACTGAGGAACGGCTGTCCTCCAAAGAACTGAGGGACATTTGCCAGAAGTGGAATGAGGTGCAGGCTTTTGCAGAGCGGCACCACCCTGACAAGCACGTGGCACATGACCAAGCGAACATTTTTGATACGACGGTCATGTCGCCTCTCAGGGAGCTGCTGAAACGGCGGATGAAGCAGCAGACCATGGACAGGTTCCTCAGCAAGAAGCAAAGAGTGGAAGAGGAACCTTCTTCGAGTGGTCCCTAGAGTCTTAGAAAATGTAATGTACCCTTTTTTGATTTTTAAATGTTTTTCCTGTCATGTTTAGAAACTTAATTTATTGTTCCTTCAATTTTTAAAGTATGTGTGACTTTAAAGAGCAGTTAATAAACTCTTGTTGTACCGAATTTGGCTTTGATTGGACTTTTTTTGACCATAGGAACGCATTAATTGAATTTCAATGCATTCCTATGGGATTTCGTGCTTCGCAAGACGAAAAATTCGCTAGACGAAAAAACTCGCGGAACGAATTAATTTCGTCTTGCGAGGCACCACTGTATCATAAAGACACCACAATCCCCACTGTGCCTCGTTCCCCAAAGGCCCTGGGTAAGTTCCTGGAACCCATGGAATCTTGCATCACTCGGAGATTGCAGTGGCATGCAATGATACATAATAGTTGTCATTTTGAGCTGCTGTTCAGTCTCATGTTTCTGTTCCACCAGTGTTGCGTGTACAGCCACTTAGCTCAGTGTTCCTGAGTATTAATCAGTACAGCGCAAGGAAACTGACAGTTTCACTGGAGATAAACAAGAGCAAAATGTACGATATATGTCCTTTAGTTGGCTACAGCTCAGGTTGAAGATATGTAGCATAATTCCACGAATGTTTACTTATAAGTAAGTCCTGCTATATTTAATGGGGCTGTGCAGGGTTGAGCGCCTAAAGAGGTAAGCCCAAAGGATTCATGGACTATCTCCTGATCCGAATGCCTTTGCTGCCCACTAAGCTGATCTGATAAGTGAGGTTTTAGGCAGAGAAGTGGAATGAATTCTTTCCATCTGCCTTTGCTGTGGAAGACGCAGGGCAGATCCCTGTGTGTGAACTAACTTTCTCAGAAAGGGGAAGCTGAGGAACCGAGGCAAACGTTAGTGACAAGAGACAAAAGCTCCAGGCATTAATTGACAAAGTGGAATGGAAGGTGGCCAATATAATACTAATTTTTAAAAAGGAATGGGAGGGGTTGTGGAAATTGCAGGCCAGCTAGCTTATAATGTCTGTCCTGGGGAAACTGGTGGAAAACATTGATACAATTACAGTCTTCCTGAAGCAGAGTCAGCATGGCTTCTGCAAAGTAGGACGAATCCCTGAGTTGAGACTCTGCACATGATGGTGCCCTGATGTTTTATTGTGTCCCCCCCCCCCTTTTCCATTTTTATTGGAATTTTATTTACAACATAATACAAATCCCCCACGCCCCCAATACACAAATCCACCCTCATTAAACATGAATATAACATACAGTGAGCATAACATACAACAATACTAACAACCAAATAAAAGACTTCCTTTATCCTGTATCTAGGCTCCTTATTTACTTCTTATAAATTGTTTCCTTTATGAATAATTATTAAGATTTTTCTAATTATAACTTAAATATCCACAAAGTCTCCTGCAGACATTAATCGAAACAAGTCCAGATATGTATTTTAGGGCACTGTTTTGTGAAGTATTCTCTGCATTTTCCCCATGCTTTTTGAAACTCTTTTCTAGTGTGATCTCTAATTTCCTCTGTTAACCTAGCCAGTTCAATACAGTATATCTTGCCATTCCTTTTTTGTTGGCACAGTTTCTTTTTTCCAGTTTTTAGCAATTAGGATTCTTGCCGCTCCTGTGGCATAGAGGAGTTTTGTTGTGTTCTTATATCTGTCAGAAGCCGCCCAGAGTGGATGGGGTAACCCAATCAGATGGGCGGGGTGCAAATAATAAAATTGGTCCCTACCAGAGAGGAATGGCAATGCTTGATTATGTTGGATTATGCCGAAATGGCAAAACTGACCGGAAAGCTCAGGAACCAAGAACACAAAAACTTCAAGAAAGAATGGGAATTTTTAAAATAAGTTATTTAGGAGACCGCTGTAAGCAAATGAAAACATTAGCAGGATTTTAGCAACACTTGTAATGTAACAAACACTATGGACAATATGGGCAGATTAAAAATACAGATTACAAAATTATATGCAGTTGAAAATGTTGACAATAGGACTCATGGAGGGGATGGTGGGAAGTCTTGAGATTCAGAGGAATCTCTATATATGGATATGTATTTTGGTATTGTTATAACTCTATACAGTTGTACCTTGGAAGTCGAACGGAATCCGTTCCGGAAGTCCGTTCGACTTCCAAAACATTCAAAAACCAAATCGTGGCTTCTGATTGGCTGCAGCAAGCTCCTGCAGCCAATCAGAAGCTGCGGAAGCCCTGTCGGATGTTTGCGTTCCAAAAGAACGTTCGCAAACTGGAACAATCACTTCTGGGTTTGCGGCGTTCTGGAGACAAAACGTCCGAGTCCCAGGGATCCAAGGTACGACTGTATTTGTTAAATCAAATAAAAACAGTTTCAAAAAATCAAAAAAATTGCTGTTATTATAATTTAGCCATTGGCTTGTTGGGCACATTTCCTTTTGCCTTCCCTCAATGGCTGAACTAGCCGTGGGATGTCACCCGGAACAAAATTCCCTGTTGGTTCCTGCTGCATATCCCACACAGAGGCAGCGCTTACCTTTCTAAGTATTGTTTCCTTCCACATTTATGCTGCTTTCCTGGTTCCTGCCACTTTATATAATGCTGAAAGGAGAAAGTGTGTCTCACATATCTGAGATTCTGTAGAGAATTAGCTGCAGCCCTTGTGGAAAACGGTTGCAGGATTAAATGAGCCTTTGGTCTGATTTAGTGAGGCTCTTCTTACCTCATGCCTTTTATATTTTGTTTCAGATTTTCTTGAAGGGAATTTTTTTATTTAAAAAAATCAACAAAAGCCATTCATTTTGAATCCTCTCCTTTTTAATTTCTCCATTATTTCCAGCAGAGGGCATGTTGGTTTCATCAACTTTCCGACGGCTTCGTTTATGAAGCCTACATTGTAACACTTTCCCACGGAGTACAGTACAGTGTATCATACTGTTAAAAATGAAAAGTGCTTTAGAGAAAAAGGCTAGATTGTCTCATTCTACCAAGAAGGAACAGCAGTCTTCCTGGATTGGGAAGTGGTATTACACATGGCTTTGGCCGAAACTCACACCTTTCCTGTATCTATCCTATAGTTTCTTAAGAAATCCTGCATTTTGACATGTTTCTCCGCAAACCAGATTCAATCCACAGTCAGAAAAAGAATGGCATAGCTTCATTTAAACCAGTAATATATACACAGCTTTGAATTGATTCAGTATTACTTATACCGCTGCATATTACAGCCAGTCTGTTATCTCGGAATAGTTTGCAGAATTTTTTTAAAGTGAAGTCTGTTATCCTCAAGAACAAAGTTGAACAATTAGTCTTGAATTTTGGCCTAAAAAACCTAGCTATAATATAAACTTTCAAATACATAAAACAATAAAAAAACCTAATATCAGAAAAGTTAGGACAGTTGAGAAATTATGAGAGGCAGGAAATAAATATTTTAAAT